TTTCTTATATACTTGTATGGCTTGTGGAGCCAAGCAGCCAGGAATGGATGCCAGAGAGCATAAAGAAGCTGGGCTTCACTGTTTGGCAGCTCTGTGGTGCTTGAAGACCTCCAGCATTACTGCTTGCATGTGGAGTGGGTTGACCTAAAGGACCATTGGTCTTGCTTTCAGGTGGTGTCCTCAAAATGTGTGCTTTGCGTGGGATGCCTGGAAGAAATAAGCCAACTGATTAAGGTTAAATTAAATAGTAGCTGGGAGTAGTGGATGAAGAGGATTTATTGCTTAGGCACTTGGTGTTTGTATCCCCACTGCCTGTTCTTGTTTGTGAACTCTTCAGGGCAGAAACTGTTGGCATTGACATTTTTACAGCACGTAACCACTGGAGCCCTAATCCTGGCTGAGGTTTTGGGAACCATAGTAAAGCAAATAAATATTGGGTGTTCCTTTCTTTCCTTTCTTTCCTTGTCAGATGTTAGTTATAGAAATCAAACACAGTCGTTTTGTCCTCTTCCATGGAATTTTATGCTAAATAACACTTAAGTTCCCTACAAGTGACTTTAATACAACTCACTGTATTCTTTAATGCTTAACAGAGCAGAAAGGTATCCTTCCCGTTTTGAGAAGGCTTCAATAGCTTTCGATTTTACTGACCTATGCAGGTCTTTGTAATGTCCAAAACCACTATTGCCTTTGGGAACTTGACCCTGGGCTTTCATTTTGTGTCCTGCTTTCAAATTTGCAAACACAGGGGATTTCACTGTGTTATCCTAAGGGGGAAATTCTAGTACCATTCCAGAAACATTGCAAGGCAAGTGTCTGCATGGCTGCAGAGCATGTGATAAACCTCCCAGGCACTGACGTTCAAAAGATTCAGCTATTTACAAGAAATAATATGAATGTTTTAAGTATAAGCAGCTACTTCTGGAGCAGAACCTGCTGGCTGCCGTGAGGATGCCCATAGCATGACTCTTTGTGCTGGAGAGGGGTGGTGGGATTTGTATTTGCTTATTGCTGTTAGCTCAGCTTTCAGGGCAGTTCATGTGCAGTCCAGATCCTGATGTCATGGTAGGGCCAGGTATTCTCCCTCCTGGCCATGTAGGATACCTGAATAGAGCAAGTGCTGCCTTCCCTAAAAGATGGATATTGCTTTATAGGGCTCAGAACAGGCATCAACTTGAAGGATGTGTTACTCTAATGTAGGAGAAAACACAGTCTGGCCTCCCTATCCCTTCCACCCCCTTTTTCTTTCTTCCCTAATTTTAACACACGACTCCAACTTACTAATACACTATATTGCGGTCCTTATGCATCTTGGTTTTATTATTACCATTATAATATGGTCTTTCTTTTTTTTTTTCCTCCTTTTTTACTGCAATGAATTTTGAAGTTGCTCCCTGCCCACCCACTGGCTGGAGAAGTTCACGTGTCTAGAAGCCTAAATTTAGTCCTTTGCTGACGCAGTGTAGTCATTCAGGCTTATCTGACACTCTTTTTTTTCTCATGTTTTTGCCAAAGCGTTTCCTAACAAGATGATAAAATATCTTCCAAACCTGCCTGCCTCCTCGCAAACTCAGTTTGCATCCTTTGAAAAATGGGGCTGACACGTGCGTTGTGAAATGAGAGATCATTTCAAGTTAATGATGTAAGGGTCAACTGGTAAGATGGGTAAGAAAAAAACAGAAGGATTGTAGTTTTCTTGGCAAGACCAAGTGTTCAGCAGTGGTGCTTTATTTTGCTGCTGTTGTGTACTTCTCTTGCCAGAGAAACCCAACAGAAAGTGGTCATGCATTTCAACTCATAGGCCTCCCCTAATTTTCGTTAATGAGAAGTGTCAGTATTCTCCCATCCTTGCTGTCCTGGTTTCAGTCAAGTGTTTAGTTCTTTTGGACTCTGAGTTGTGTCGCTGTCATTACAGACAAAACTAACTCTGCTATTACAGAAACAGGTTACACAGTGGGAGATTTTACTGTCGACCCATCCTTTTCTGATCTGTACATGTTCTTCTCCTTTCTCATTCCTTTCTTTACTCAGCTGCTGTCAGGCATCTGCCAGGATGTTGATGGACCAGGACACAATGGCCTGCTCTTCTGTTGGATGGCAAAGATCAGAGCATGCCATTTCACTTTATTCCTTGAATTACAGGAACCTAAATGCTCTGTGGAGGGCATGCTGATGTTCTGTACAGATTGTTAATACCTTCAGTGCAGCCTATTTGAGCTGGACTAGTTTCTACTAGTTTTTTGCTAGTTTCCACCACTGGTCTTAATGAACATGCTTACTACCACTCATTGTCTGCTTCATAAAAAAAAGGATGATGAAAAACAGCATCAAAGGAGCATGGGCAGTGTCCGCATGTTGGGACTTCGAGCTAAATTGTGCCTAATGTAACGTGTAACTTAAAAGCTTATCACTTTGGGTAAATCTGGCAGTCTAGACCTTGTGATGGAGCACGTCAACTGTGGTTACTCCTTTTTATGAAGGTGAGATGGGTGTTGGTGGCAGATGCTATGATGGCAACTTGTACAAGATTTGTGAAAGCAGGGAGAGGGCTCACAGCTGATCAGTCCTGCAGCATAGCAACCCAAGCATCAATGAAGCATTAGCTACGGTGTATACAGGTTCCTCTGTGGCTTTGCTGAAAAGGGTGGCCTTGCACTTCTGACCTTCCTCTTTATTTCATGAGGCTTTGGATGGGACTGTTTAGAAAGCACTGGCTTGATAACTTAGAGCTAACAAAGTGGAGCAGGAGGGATGAGACAGTGGTGAGAACACCCTCTGGAGGGTGAGAAGCTGGCTGGTGCCCCGTGGGTTTGCCAAAGCCAAGCAAACAGCTGTGGTTGAAACCCAGGGGTGAGCTCCCTGAGAGCATGAACACATACGTAATTTGCTTTCAGGTCACGTAACTTATTGTGTGTAATGGCAAGAGTAACAATAAGATACCTGTGAACTGTGATAGGGAAGATGTAAAGCTATTAAATAAAGAAGGAAAGAATATATTTGGGTGCATTAGAATAACTTCCTTTCCTCAGAAAAAGCTTCTGAGAAACTGGCACAGGTGATAAAATTAAATTACTTGGGAGTAGAGAGATACTTGGAGTAAATATGTATTGTCTGTGGTGTCTTGGGCAAATGCAAACCAGTAATGTTCTGGTTTTCTGATTCATTTTTTTTTAAGGTGATATCCTTTAACTTGCTTCGTATCCTGTAGAAGGTCAGTAGTAATATTGTTTGTGTAGAACGATGGCTGGATTTTGGGATAAGGAGTAATCCTAGTAGCTGATGTAAATGCAGAAGTATAGATTCCTTTTTCTTTGAAGGTATACCACGCTGTATCTTTTATCAGCAAAAAGAAGTGGTTCAGTTACTTGTCAAGACTTGAAAAGATGTGTTTGAGAAGACGATGCTTTATATTAGCTCCCTTTAAACATTAGCATCTGAGACAGATCTGCTTTGATTCTGTGCTGCTTAAAAGTCATATCCACTTACTACCAAATTACTGTGTCAGACTACAACTCTTAATTTTGCTTCCTGAGAGAATTGGTCAATTGCAATGAGACTTTGTTAAAATCCAAATGGGAAGTGAGCTTAAAAGGGGGTTTTTCCAACCGTGGTTCCATAAGGTACAATAAACACTCTTACAACGTTTTGGTACCCTGTTTGAGATGTCCAGATTCAGAATAGGACAGAGAGGCTCAGATAGGTCATGAAGGAGATTGGCAGGGCTTGTGAATCCTTTGGTTTTGTTTCTTCTTTTCTCTCTGAGCCCTCAGTAGGACTGGAATATTTGTTTGTTGGCTGCCTCAGAGGACCTTTTGCAGCAGGCCTGTGTTTTGATGAGCAGGCTTGGCAGGTACCTCAGGCATTTTAAACCAAGCAGTGCAAAAACGCTTCTTTGTAAAGTAAGGCGAGCGTGTGAAGGAGCAGGGGTGGCTGGAATCAGCTAAGAAAACTTAGGCTGTGGTTCAGTTTCTGTCTCACTAAAGGCAAACTGTGGGATCTGGAAAGGAACGAAGTATGAACCAGACCCTCTGTTTTTTGTATGAGAAGCATAGTGGTATTTCATCCCTTTTAAAAAGGGTTTGAAGTACTTGTAGAGCATTACCAGTACTGCAGACATGAGCAACAGCAGAAATTCCATTTTTAATTGCTTTGCATTCCTTCATGTTAGGATCCTGGACCTCTTAATACACACGTTAAATGAAAACATATAGCTTTTCTATTGGAATGGAGAAATTAATGCAAGTGAAATTCTGGTTCAGATGATTCAAAGCTCAATGCAAATAACTTTCACCAAGTTACATGGAAATTCCGGGGCAGACTGGGAAGGGGAAAGCTTCTTAACTAAAATCACCTTGGTCGGAGAAGTGATGGTTAGTTTTTGACTATGAAAAATGCCAATGCAGAATCAGGCGCATCATCTATTCTGGAAGTTTTCCCTCAGTTTTGCAAGGAGTGTTTTTGACAGTTTGATTTTTATGTACTTTTAAAATGCTTCTTGAATAAAACAGTGGAAAGGGGAGGGAAATGGCACCAGATTACTTGGGCAGTGTAGTGTTCACCAGGGTAATTGGTCTTCTCCAGCAGTGGAGTGAACCACAGATCTTTACAGCAGCTTTTTTGGTGGCTGTGTGGGAATTGGTGGGCAGATAGCAGTTGAGGATTGCTTGTCATAAACAGAAGATAGGAAGTGAGGGCTGCTAAAAGGAAACATGAACTGAGATGGCTGTGGTGGGGAAGCAATTTCACCTGGGATATTCTCAGTACTGACATAGCTGACAGCTCGGATGAGTGCTTTGCTCTACCAATCATTTTAGGTTTGGCTTTGCTTAATGTGAGCATAAATAAGTAAGTATCATTGACAGATCTACAAAGAGAGAAAATAGAAAATCATTGTGTAAAAGTGACTATTGGGGAAGTGATGTACACTGCTAAAGTGGCTTAAGTAGTACCTAAAATGTTATGGAAAATACTGTTAACTTGTCTTTTCTGTTCTGTTTCAGTGTTCAGAGGTCATGAAACTTAATCCACAGCAAGCTCCATTATATGTGAGTACAAAATCTTAAGCGTTTTTCCCTTTCCTCCTAGCCACACAAAATGCTTCCCACCACCCTTTCTGGAGATGCTGCTCTTTTTCTCTTTGCTCCCAAAGACGTTATTTGTATTAATTCAATTGCAAATGCTCAGTGGTAACACTCAGGTAAGTCCCAGAGCTCCTCTATCTCTCCAGCAGACAGTTATAAAGAAGTTCTGAGACATGTATTGCAGACAAACCCCTGCTTTGATTTATTTTCTCCCCAGTGCATGGCTGTGCTCTTGTGAGTTGATGTGTTGAGAGGTGGTAAGAAGAAATTGCTTGTGTGGAAAAGAGGGCATCCTGGTGCGCAGCGCTTGCCCACTGTGATAATATTTTCCTGGTTGGAGTTTTCAACGTGGCAGGGAGGAACTGGAAGCGGCAACGGGCTCAGCTGTGCTGTGGCTGCTGCAGCAGGGTCTGGTTTACGTCAGCCTCCTGGAAGCTCGTAACCTCGATGGCTGCATTAATAAAGAACAAGCTTCCTCTCGCTCTTGAATAGCAGCTTTGTTGCAGAACATGAGGACTGTCAAATTAGACCTGGATTTGTGGGGGTGTGTTGCATGTGTGTTAAATCTGTGTCAAAGCTGCCAGCCAGGCTTGTAACCGTTTGCTTTCCATATTGCCATGCTCAGAACAGGGTTAGCTGAGAAAGCCGTCCTGTGCTTATGGTCCTACCCACAGACCTTGTGTGTAATAAGGGTAGAGCTGGATGCAGGGGTGGAAAATCTGGAGGGAAAATTGCTTGCAATTGTGGCTTCTAAGGGGAAGGAAGGAGGAAATGATCAGGACTGGTGGTATCTTGGAAAGTGTGTGTTGTAAATAATGGGTCATATTGACCTTCAGTGCCATGGAAGCTTTTAAACCTTGCCTACTTTCAATTACGAGCTGGAAGTTTGCACTGGAATTTATTCTCTACTTACAGTACTAAGTTCTGTGCTTGGAGCAACATTAAAACACTGTGTAGTGTGACCTGCTTTTGGGAGAATGGCTCTTCTGGAGCACACCACCATATCCTGTATTTGGCAACTAAATGTTGCTTGATTTTTTTCAGTTGCAAGCCTACTGAATGCATCTTGACATTGAAGCAACTTAAGTTTTAGTTTCTTTTAATGTGTCCTGTGTGCAAATATATGGTATATATGCCATGGTAGAAGGCAGGGCAAAATTATCCTTTTATCTTTTGAACAGCATATGACTTAACTAATCTGGAGCCTTTGTTTTCCTAGTCTTATCTTCTGGCTTAGTTTATTTTCCCACTGTTTTGTGTGGGTTTGTATTTAATGTGTAATACTGGAGTGGTACACTTAGAAGTCCTCATCCCCACGTGATAGTGAGGAGGACTGGGCTGAGGTCAAATGTAGCCCAGTGTGAAATAATGATTATATGGCACTTGGTGTAGTGTTTTGTTGCAATGCAAATAAGTTGGTGATGGCATTATTAATACATGGGTGACTCCCCTTTCTCTCTTCCTCCTCCTCCCCTGGCCAAGTGTATCTGCAGATCAGCTCCCTTTCAAAACAAAGTTTGGTAGCTTAAGGAAGGCAGAGGGCAAAATAGGAACTCGAGGACCTTGAAAAGTCAGGATTTAGTCTTCCTGTTTGCTCTCAGTATAAATGCTTTGTACATTTTAACGTCAGTTTTTCTTTCCATGCGTTGTTAATTGACATCTCAGCTCATTGGAGAGTTGTTGGGTGTGAGCAGCACATAAGTAAAATGTACCTTCCTGGTGTTTTGTTGTTCAGAAGGCAGACACAACAGTCTTGTGGCCTGGCCATTGGTAGGTGAATAACAAACCCTCATCTGGTTCCTTCTTCATAGTGATGTCAACTCTGTTTTCCTGGTATAGGCTCCTTGAGCTTGTTGTCAAATAACTAAGAGCCATACTCTGAAGTTCTCCATGAGGAATTTCATCTCTGTAAACAGCTGGAACTAAGAGGCAATACAGACATGTCAGGGCATCCCTGAGTTTGTCTACTCTCAGGAAAACATTGCTTCCCCCCAGATTTCACCAATTTGTTCTTGACACCTTTGCCTTGCATCCCTTATACTCTTTGTCTTTGAAGCCAATAGGTTAGCTTCAAGATTACTTAATTTTGTTTATTATTTTTGTTAAAGCTTGCATGAGCTTCATTCTCAAAGCTCCATTAGTAAGCAGCAGCATTGCTGAGCTCCTTTTGGGAGGAGAAAGTAAAAAATGATGTCTCCAGTTCAGTTCCTGGAAGGCAATTAGAGAGCTAGAGCATGTTTTATCCTATATGGTAATTACCTTACAATTATGAAAAGTGTTTAGGGAACCTGGGGTGTCTGCTGTACTAGAGATCAAGGTTTTGTGGGTAATGGAAAAGATGGTACTTCCACATAAGCACTAATAGAGGGATGGAGATTCTTGTATTATTGGAGCCAATGTATGTAAATAGAGGGAAGCCCACCTCCTGCATCCTTGGTATGTTATTTTGGCTGCTTGGACTTCACTTCTATAAATATCACCTGTCCTGCTTCTGCAGAGCTTGTGAGCCCTTTGTAAGTGTAAAGATTAAGAGATAAGGTGGAAAACCTGTAAGTATGGTGGTTTTGTGTTTGTATGTGTCTTGTCCCGTTTTAGTCTGATTGTTCCTTGATTAATGAAGTTGCAGGAACAGGAGTTGAGCGTTATGGTGCTGCAGGTTTGGGCTGGGACAAGAGTTCAGCCTTTCCTGGGCAAACTGCTGGCCCCTGGCTCGTTCAGTTGGTCCCCCCAGGAGCATCATATCTCTCACCAGAGCTGTTTGTTACCTGCCCTTAGCGCTGTTTAAGGAGCAGACCTGGCCCCTGAGCTTGGTGCAGCTCACAACAGCCCAGTCATGAGGTAGAGGAGCACATGCCAGGAGAGATAGGGAAGCAAAGTGTTCCTCAATATAGCACGGGGAAGGTTCACCGCGGTGTTGATACCGTTAACGCCGGTGTTTAAACAGGCTGTAGGTCAAGCAGCTATCCCATTGTCAACACGTACTTGCCTTCATAAAAGGCAGTGTTACTTTGCAGAGTCTGTGGCTTAATATCATAGAATCATTGAATGGTTAGGGTTGGAAAGGATCTTAAGATCATCAAGTTCCAACCCCCTGCCATGGGCAGGGACACCTCACACTAAACCATCTCACCCAAGGCTTTGTCCAACATGGCCTTGAACACTGCCAGGGATGGAGCATTCACAACTTCCCTGGGCAACCCATTCCAGTGCCTCACCACCCTTACAGGAAAGAATTTCCTCCTTATATCCAATCTAAACTTCCCCTGTTTAAGTTTGAACCCCTTACCCCTTTGTCCTATCACTACAGCCCCTAATAAATATTGTGGTATGAATTTGAAATAAAGCTGTTCCAACCCACTTCCTCATTCTCAGGTATCTCCATGGGGTACTTGACATGAGCAGCTATCTTGCTGCTAGCAGTGATGTTCTGAAGAAGTGGGATAGTAGAGTGGGCAAGTCATGGATAAGGTCTCCTGTGGTTCACATAACTGTGATGATGAGGGTTCGAGTTCTCCGTACTGCAGCAGTGGTCTTAAACTTTGTGGTACAAGCTTGACTAATGCAGGGATGGTCTCTAGACCCATAATCATTATAGCACTGGGAAGGTTTTAACAGAGAATGAGCTTTATCTCCCAGCTTTTCACTAGCACGGGTCACGGTTACAAAAAGCAACTGTCACTTGTCTGGATTAAGTGTATCTGATTTCTGTTGCTGCTGTTCTCATGAGTTGTTTTCTTCCAAGTGTGTAATTACATGGATCATGCTTTACGTAGTCTTTGAGGCAGCTGCAGATATTCTGTGGAAAAGGGGCTCTGTAATATGAAGTCCTTCAGATACATTGATTTCTTCACGTCCATTTTGCTGTAGAATGTGCAAAAAATCTGTGTACCTGGACAGTCCTTTGTTTGCCTGTCTCAGACTGCAGTTGGGAACATCTCTGTTGATGAACAACATCTCTGTTGTGAGATCAAACACAACAAAATTGGATCAAATCCGAAACCAGCTTTACCCACATCCCTCTTGTATTTCAGTGCTGTCCCATTGATACGGAAACTTACTGAGCACAGCATAGTGGATGGACAGTGTTTCAGACCTTGTTTCTGCTCTGCCTGGGGCTTTGCTTGGGAAGCCAGGTCTCAAACTGAAGGAACAAACTCTTCCTGTCAGGAATGGGAGTGAGAGAGTTGCAAAAGTCTTTGATTGATGGGAGCTGAGAATTCAGGAGCTTCAGTTCTGTTTAAGTACTTGAAATGACCTCACTGATGGTCACCTTTTCATAGAAGTTGTGCATCTCTACCAGAAAGAGTCATATTTTCAACTTGCAAGGTACTTCCTAGATGTTGTCAATGTATTATAGAAACATCCAGGTCATTAAGGAGTATGCAGATAGGAAAAAAAGGGTTAGCAGTGCTAAGAACGAAGGAGGTTTATTATTAAGTGACCTTTTCATTGTTGTGATTCATTAAGTTCTCTGTTTACAAATGAAATCATTTAAATTAGTCTCTTAGCTTAAACTCAACTGTTGCTAACAGCTAGGCAAGAGAAGGAAAATGGAAAAGAGCTTTGTAAAGGTGAAGTGTTGATCTTTTATAAATGCTACCATTAATTGAGAGTCCAGCAGAGTATTCAGCGGGAGATTTAATTACAACAGGATCAAGGAATCACAAGCTGTGTCCCTGTTTCTAACCACAGTTTAATAAATAGAGAGTGCATGTGAGTAAATGAGCAAGGTCAAGTTTCCAACTGCATACAATGTCCTGAAAAATCTTACTTCAAAAGTCACCTGCATGGATTCTGATTTCAGCTTCTGGTAGTTACAGGATCTTTGCAATGCTATTGGTCGTTCCTCTAACCCAGTTGCATCTCCTGCCACTCTGAAATCAGTGCTGGTTTTCTTTTATAGAACAATAATCTGAAAGCAGTATTGGGTATGAATGTGCTGGAAAAGGACTGAGGTTATATGC